ATTGTATGATCACACACAGCATACACAGTTGCCACCAGACCCTGATGACTTAATGCACAAGACCTTGAGCTGCGAATGTTCAGGAATGAGAGCAGAATCCTAACAACAGGATCTCTCAAAGATGATTCCACACAGACTAAGATAACACTATTAAGCTGACAAACACCATCTAAAGATCAGCTTTGGACTATAAACTGCTCAGGACAATTTTGAGGTGGCTAGCTGAGATGATCCAGCCTCATAGGCTACTCTAGCCAGAACTTGAGACAAGCCCTACACTTTCCCATTACACAGAGACTGGACAACAAATGATATAACTACCTCTCCCAGGACTTGACAATTAACTCAAATTTTTCTTTTCAGGATCCCCTAAAGATGCCTTTGCCTTTTTGGTCATTCAATAGGTTATGGATATTTTTCATTGTTTAGGGTGGTTGGTTACATGTTGTATTGCTAATAGTCAGGAAATAAGCTGAACAAAGGAGATTAGATTCAGGGTTCTTGTTTGAAAAAAAAGAAGGGGATACAGATATGATATGACAAATGAGTAGATTATTGAGTCTACTCTGAAAAGAAAAAGGGGAGGATATAGATATGATAAGATAAAAAGGTAGATTGTTGAATCTACTTTTAAAAGCTTACATTGATATCATCTTTCTATATTGATACAAAGTTGAGATTAATTTTGTTAGAACACACTGAACATACATTTCTATTCTTGTTCTGTGTATTGTACCTATACAGTTAATTTAACAATGTAATGCAAATATCTAGTCCTTGAAAGTTATTACAAGGTAATTAGGACATAAGGAAATACAAGTTAGTAGTTAGTCTTTACAATCAAACTTGTAGTCATGATAGATATGTTTTCAAGGTCAAACAGATATATTTTAGATAGACAGGTCATCTTCAAACCCTTTAGAGATCTAGAGAATATGGAGTTTGCTTTCTTTGTATAATGTGAATCTTAAAATGTTTTATTAATAAAAACAAACCCAGAGCCAGATATTGAGGTGAACTCTGAAAGATCAGAGAGACAGAACATTCCACATCCAACCTCACCTTGCCAATTTCTCAGCTGACCTTGTTTTCATGAATCCTTGGACCTGAAGCCTCTGAATCCTCACCTGAATGGATCTCAGCTGAACTGCTGCTAAAAGCTAAAAGCTTTACAAAAGGCTCTAGTTCCTGGTCCTCATGCCTTAAATACTTTTCTGTTTCCTGCCATTACTTCCTGGGATTAAAGGCGTGTATAACCACGCCTGGCTGTTTCCAGTGTGGCTTTGAACTCATAGAGATTCAGATGGATCTCTGCCTATGGAATGCTGGGATTAAAGGCATATGTGTGCCACCATTTTCTGGCCTCTATGTCTAATCCAGTGGCCGTTCTGTTCTCTCACAGATAAGTTTATTAGGGTACACAATATATTGGGGAACACAATATCACCATATCTTTGGGGCAAAAGTTAGCCACTAGGCAAGAAAGTGCCCTTGCCTCAACTCCTGACAGTATGCTGTCCAAATGGGACAAGCAGAACACAAAAGAAAGGCCTGTTGAAATTTGTCAAGACAAGGTAGGACAGTCCTTCAGAAAATCCTGCCTCATAGATAAGTCTGTCAGACATGCTAGGCCTATAGGCTGAAGACTGAAGGTGAAGCCCCAATGTTTCAGAGGTAGGCAGTTGTTTCTGTCATTTCTCACATTTTTTGGAAATCCCTTGCTTGTACTTCCTGCTTACTCATATATATTATTTCCTCTTGGGTCTCAGGAATTGAAGATGAGATAGTTATGTTTATAGTTTTCCTTGTTAACAAATTCAAAAAGGAAACTCACTAAAGAGGTGTAAAATGTATTAGACTGAGAGGCATCAAAAGATAGTTTTTGGTAGGTAATTCAAGTTAGGATAGAAAGTGAATTAGGTACATTTTGGACTCACCAAAACTGGATAAATAATGGAGTATTTTCTATGAATTTGTGAAGTGTTAATGGACTAGATATTATAGATGCAATTATTGCCTGTATATATTATATATAGTTGTTGTAATTATTGTATATAGATTTTATTTTAGACAAATGGGAAAATGTACTGATTTTTTTTGTATGCTCCAACAAATAAAGCTTACCTGAAGATCAGAGGGCAAAGCCAGCCACTAGTTAGCCATGGAGGGCAGGCAGTGGTGGCATACACCTTTTATCCCAGCTCTAGGGAGGTTGAGACAGGAAGTGGTATGGCTGGGCTGAGAAAAGGAATAAGTCAGGATAAGATAGTAAGTCAGTCCCTTTCAGGCTGAGGATTCAGTAGAGGTAAGAAGTCTCTCTTGTGGCTGGCTGCATGGCTTTACTGATCTTTCAACATTTACCCCCCTGATCTCTGGCTCTGGGTTTTTTATTAAGACTGATTAGGATCCATGGTAAATGCACCCCGGAGCTGAAGCCATGAGATAAAATTGCATAGTTTTTTATTTCAATCTATCTGTACAGACTTCTAAATAGTCAGAGCTGTTCTAAGAGTCATCTGGTTGGTTGTGTCATTTGCAGTCTTTGGGCTGAAGGAAGTCATGATTAAAAAGGAGAGCCCAATACCTGCTAATTAAGGAACCAAAGTTCATAGTTACCAAGCTCGTTCCTAGTTCTGAAGTCTCTGGAATTAATAGCAACTTCTTGCAAAAAGAAGATTCTTTGACTAACTCTCTGAGTAGCACTAACCTGTGGGTATAAACATGAATATTTTAAAGGAAAACTGACAATGAGATGTGATGTTTTTTAGGCCTACTGCCCTCCAGGTGGGAGGTTTTGACAAGGCATATTATGCTTGCTATGAATTTTCTCTTGTGTAGCAGGCCTCAAATGCAACCAGAAAGCAGTTGGTTACCACTGTGACAATGGTGCCATCATTGTGCCAGGTGCCCTACTTTTTCTTTTGTCCAGAACTCATAATGGAAACTAATAAGAATGCTCCTGGTCTTTCTCTATACTTTAAGTGGCATTAAGTTCAGGTAGGAGAGAAGTTGAGTCCTTATGTAAACATCAGGGAGACTATAGCTTCCTCCAGATCAAAATCATTCACCTTACAGAAAAGCTTGGTAAGACACAGGGTGTTAACAAAAGGATACACATGGCAAGCCACAAGAATATGATATAAGGAGTCCAGCTGTGTATTAAAGCTATACCTTGACCAGGCCAAGGGTCTGTCAAGTGGGAAGCCATTTAGCATGAACTATTTGGTGTTACACAGCTTAATATTCAGCTGTGCCTTGTTATAAATTGCTTGTATTCACAATTCCTCTAGAATGTGTGTGTGAGCTTCTTTGCTCAGGCCAGTACTTGGATAAGGTAACATAGGCAAAGACAAGCTGGCTGGAGATGCATAGCTTTGTGTGTTGTGCAATAATAAAACTCAGAACATCCTTTGCCTTGAGGCCTAGTGGCTCTCCAGAGCAACTGACTGAAACAAAAGAGATTTTTACATATCAAGGTGGAAGGTAGGGTGGAGCAACATTCCAGAGGAGGGAGAGAACCACATGGCAAGGGGAAGAAGACACAGGCATTTTCTGTAGAGGCAGACAGAATGGCATGACCAGGGAGAAGGAAGAACACAGAGGTTTTGTAGATAGTAAGGCAGAAGCCTTGTAGAGTTCATCGGAGCCAGGAGTAGAGAGTAAGTAGAGATGGAGGATGAAGAAACAGAGGATGTAGATGAGGCTGGAAGCATAAGAGCTTAGTTGTTAGCAGGACTATGAGAGGGCAGTAAATGAGGGAACAAAAAGAAACTGAGTGTCAGGACAGAACTGAAGCTATGTAGACAGGATTTCATCCCAGAGAAATAAAGTAGATGAATGAAGAGCTTGGTGTATCTAGATTTATTCCTGTCCTGAATGCCTGACAGAGATGTACCTGAAGAGATAGAATTTTTTCTTAGAGGAGTAAAGTTAACAGACATAAGAGCATAGTGTATATAGATTTCTTCCCTCAGATATCCAACACTGGACGCGGTGTCATCCTCGGACTCTGGGCAATCTGTAGATACAGAATAGCAGGATTGTCTCAGAATGGGTGAAATCTCACATCAGGCAAGAAAGATCATTAAGATCAAGTAAACAACTTAGAGGCTTCAGGAAGTCCCTGAAACCAGATATAATAGGGTCCCCCATCCCCAAGAATATATACATTGTAAGGAGTTGTCCTAGGCATTCTCATATAAGCTGATATGCCTGAAAATTGTTGAGACCACCCATGCTGTCCTGAAGAGGCTCAGACCAACTTGACTACCTAAAAAGGACACTCTCCAATGCTTTGTACTGTCTGCACATTGTCAAGGGTGCCCCAGGATTCTTGCTATTATGAGCTGTTACTCATTTTGAATTAAATGGTGACATAGCTGTCTTTGAGTCATTTCTGCTCCTGTAAGTAACACCTCATCAATATTCCTATAATAAACACAACAATAAATAAATAAATCCCATTGGCTCACCAAATTGGACTTCAGTTGTACCTGAACTTTGGCCTGGGGTGAGTAGATATTTGTTTCCACCTCCCCAGGAATATTGAAGTAGAGGATAGATCCAGCCTACTGTATGTAGCTAGATTTGGCACTGTTACTCCCTTTTTTCTTAAATAGCATTTGTGGATTATATAAATTGAAACTTTTGGTCTATATAAGACAAAATTCTCTGTCTCTGACACATACTTTTTTTCTGTCTTAGTGTGTTTTGTGTTGTGTCAGGACACTACAGGTACAGCGTTAATTACAGAAAATAAATGTAATACATATCTGCCAGTTTGGGAATCCAAGAACTAATCTTTGGCATTTGATGAGATTTCTTCCTGTATCTTTGTTACAGGATGTTGTGGTGGTTAGAGTCAAAGCCAGGTGTTTCCAAAACCTTTCCCTTCATTGAAAGATTTAGGGTAAAGGCGCACACAGATTTTAAAGAAGCAGTGAAACTTTATTCAAAGCAAAGCGACAATAGAGCTCAGGAAGGAATATGTGTGAAGAGCATCCGTGGGCCATGTGAGGAAAGGTGCTCAAGGGCCCCGGTTTTTGTTTGGAGCCACTTTCATGGAGTTCAAGAGAAGGAGGAGTTGGGGTGCTGAAGGGGACTGACACTGGTTCATCTGTATTTCAACTAATGGGCTTAGATTAGGTACTCAATTACTTCCTGAGCATGTACCTTTCCACACAGTATTTTATTTTGATTATATTCACACAATTATACATAGGAAGAAGTTGGTGAATTAGGATATTCATCATAAAAGTTCCCTTTGAGGACCCAGGTTTGTCTTGTTGTACACATCCCCAAACTAGTCCAGGCTGGATCCGATCATCTTTCTTGGTATCAAACATGTTCTGGGACATATTTGAATATAAATGTTCTATGAAGGTATTTCTAAGGGCAGTAATCATTTTCATTGTTTGCAGCATAGGTATTTGCAACCTGATGTATGCGGATGTCCATGATGCCAACAGTTTTCAGGTATGTTGTTAGAAGAACATTGTGTGTACACAGGGCATGGGGACAGTGGTCTCTGGCTGGGAAGTGCATTTGTGGTTATCAGACAGAAGGGAAGCCTCAGATTGCTAAACTGTGCCCCGTGCTAGCCTGTCTCATCCCTATGTGCTGGAAGAGCAACGTTAAACAAAACAAACAAGAAAAGAAAAACAAGCAAACAGAATTCCCTTCTACAAATGCTTTTCTAGTGACATTGATCTATTGATGGGAAGTGACTATGAACTGAACACACCCCATTAGGCCCCTCATTTCCAGGATCATTAAATGGGAAATAAGATGTGGATTTCCAAGATGAGAGATGCACTCATCCTTAGCTCTTCCCTCTTCCTGCCTTTATTTCTTCTTTTCTCACCTTTTCTGTGCTCCTTAATCCATGTTAGATTGTTGCCCCATGTGCCTATTAATACTGATTGTAAACCTGACAGACCTAGTATCACTTATGAGAATCCTTTGAACACATGCATGAGGGGCTTTCTAGACTTGGTTAAGTAATTTGGAAACACTCACCTTAAGTGTGAGTGGTATTGTTGAATAGGTTCAGGTCCTGAAGTGAATAAAAAGAGAGAGACAGAGAGATAGAGAGACAAGGACCAAAACAGCTCTAGAACTCACTTCTTTTTGAGTCCTGCTATAAACACAATGGGACCAGCCATCTCACCCTTCTCTACCATTAAATCAGAAGCAAAACCAAACCCATTCTTTTTCCAGTTGCTTAGGTCAGATATGATTTCACAGAAGTGAGAGAAGTAGAAAAAACCCCAGCAAGACCTTTCTGGGAATCCTGACAAATTTCTTAATTCATTTATCATAGGGCTTCCTCATTTTGAAGGATTCCAGTGACATTATTTCATTCTAGAATTGGAGTTGAGATTCCTTACTACTGCAGATAGTATTCCTCACTCTTACCCAAAATTTGTGGATTCTTTGCTTAAATAATGAAACCGTATAATACAGTCACAATTACTCAGTGAAAAGCATCTGAAGACTTGTCAGGTCCTCAACACACTAGTTTGGGAAACTGCACTCAAGGCTGAATTCAACCATCTCCTGTGTATTACTAATGTTTGGTTTTTCTGGGCAGGACACAGTCTATTTGTTCTTGAACAAGCTTTGTCCTTAAACATCACACTTGAAGCCTGTATTCCACAGTTTTATCTGCAGATCACTAATATTTTATTTTAGAGCAACTTCAAATGGTTTAAAGATATTCCCAAGGAATCACTGCTTTATCAAAAACTGGATTTTTTTAAATGTTATATATATTTATAAAACTGATAGATTAAGAATTATAAAAGTTTAGATACAAAATATGGAATTTAGATAATACAAAAATGTATAAAGAATATGAGAAAGCACCATTTCCTAGATATAATAGCAGGCAGGGCAGTGGTGGCACATGCCTTTCATCCCAGCACATGGAAGTCAGGGGCAGGCAGATCCTTGAGTTCCAGGACAGCTTGGTTTACAAAGTGATTTCCAGGACAGCAAGGACTAAACAGAGAAATCCCCTCTTGAAAAAACAAACAAACAAACAAACAAACAAACAGATGGCTTTCATAGGTATGGTATTTCAACAGGTCATATATACATTCACTCTCTGGACTTGTTTCTTTTCTCCGTAAACAGTATCCTTGGCATCGAGATTGTCAGAAGTATAGTTCTACAGAGGTTTTCATAACTGAATCAGGGTTGAGTGCCTCTCCTTCTGGCGTTGATAACCTTAAAGAAGAAAAGATGAAGTCAGAGCAGTTGAAATGCAGATGGTTCACACTTCTCTCTACATTCCTACGGACTGTTTACATTGTAATAGTGGCTGTTTAAGTGTAATACGAATCCCACACAGTGTGTAAGCATGACAAGGATTGTGGATTTTAGCATATTGTGGTCTGATTTGCTCAGGGCATCCTTGGGAACTTATCGTTTCTGTTCATCATCCTCTGCAACAGACAGTATTTGAAAGTTACAGATGAAGACCCCAAGGTTCTTTGCGTGTAGTCTTTGGTCAATTTCAAGTCAATGTTTTGTGATATTTTGTTTGTGTTCTGACAAATAAAGCTTGCCTGGAGATCAGAAGGTGGAACTAGTCACCAGTTAACCACAGAGGCCAGGCTATGGTGGCACACACCTTTATTCCTAGCATTTGGGAGGAAGAAGCAGGAAGATCAGGAGTTCAAGGACACCCTGGACTGCAGGAGATTAAAACATATGATCCGTAGGAAGAATTGTATTTCCCAAAGCACACACCTGCATGTAACTGTGCCTTACAGACTTCAGCTGCCATGTATCTTCTCTTGAGGTCAATTCAAAGCAGACAAGTCGAAGTTTATTGCCTGGCTCACAGTTGATACTGGTCAGTCGTCCATAGACCACCACTTCCATTTTCCCAGTATCATCTTCAATCCCATAGTAAATGAAGTCACCCCTTTCATTTTTCTGAAAAACAAGTTAACATTCATGTTTTAAGAAATATGTGAAAACTTACCACATCTATGAGAAATAAAGAGTGTTAGCTTAAACCTGTCCCTGACAATGGCAAGTATGGCTTTTAGGTTTAGAATCACAGGTAAAAGGCCAGTGAGATGGCTCAGTGGGTGAGGGTGCTTGTTGGCAAGCCTGACTACCATTCAGTTCCCAGGACTTACAGTGGAAAGAGAGAACTCATTTGTGGAGCTTCTCTTCTGACTTCCACACTGCTTTCATGGCCTTTATGTTTCTCTCAACCCTCACAGACAAAATAAAGGAATAACTGACAAAATAGAATTACTTGAATGGAAGAGTTTAACATGTTATGGTGAACAAATCTTTTTCTTGGCAATCCCTCTGGAGGTTTTGTGTGCCTAGCCCTTAATGACTGAGCTATAATTGCAGCCCTTGGAAGCCTCTCTTAAGTTTTACCTACTTGAGGTCTTTATCTGCCGGGTGTCTTTAGAAAAAATGAGTATCTTCCTAAGTACTAGGGGGAACATATCAGAATAGCTGAGATTTCTTAAGGTTCCAAAGTAAGGGATCAAAAATGAAAAAAAAAAAAAACATAAATACACAGCAAACCTCATTTAGCTACCATTTCAGGGCTCTTAGTTACATCCAGGAGGCCTGAGAAGAAAAGGCTACTTTGGCTCATTGTGAGTCTGAGAAACACTATTATAAGTCTTTTTTATTTAATTTATTTTACTTTTTATTGACAATAAAATTATTTTCACACATCATATTCTAATCACAGTTTCCTCTCCCCCATTTCCTCCAGCATAATTCTTTCCTCCCCACTTTTCCAACTCCAACCCTTCTTTCTCTCTCTTTTTTGTCTTTTTTTTTTTTTTAGAGGCTGAGGACTGAACCCAGAGCCTTGTGCTTGCTAGGCAAGTGCTCTACCACTGAGTTAAATCCCCAACCCCGCTTTCTCTCTCTTTTAAGCAAATAGTCAAATAAAGAAGACAAACCAACAAGAAGAAAACAAAATGAACAAACTAACAGACATAAAAAAGAAATAGCATGAGAAACAAACACACAGTCACACAAGACAGACAATCACACACACACACACACACACACACACACACACACACACCCCTCCTGTATAAATGGATCACATTTGCTCAGTGTACACATCAATGCACTCTACTACTTCCTAATCCCTTAGAAGTTAAATCTACAGCAATATTTCTGGTGTTTTAGTTTGTGTCCCACTTACTTATTAATTGTGTGACCAATTGTACCAGCACAGTCAATAACAGCATAGATAAAAGGAAAAAGTCATGCCTGATTCATGCACTATGAACTACAAAATCATACATCGAACAAGCAAACATACTAATGAACACTGTACATTGTACATAGTACATTGGCACTTAAAAATATTCAAAAGTCATAGAATTCCTTAAATTTCTTCACTTTCATTGTGCCTATTATAAATTGTGAATTTAAACCAGATTGTTTAACTCTTCTTTCTCTCATTATTTAAAATATTATTCACTCAGTAAAAAGGTCTTGATAAAATGTAAAGAATGTGATAATGAGAACACATTAAAGAAATAATCCTGGCTTGTTGGACATGGTTTCATTCTAGGGCAGAATTGTCTATTTGGTTTTTTATTCTCATCATTGCAAACTGTATCTAGTCTATGAGTTTGACACTTCATTCACAACTGAGTTCGGTAAGGAAACTATCAAAGAAATATAATCTCAAAGGAAAGTGTTCTATAAACTGAACAGTGTCTGGGAATAGGATGACTATAAATGGATTGTCATAGCCAGGAAAATGCCAAAGATTATTGATGAATCTCCTTGTAAAGAATTTCCGCCCGGCAGCAGCAACAAACAGAGGCAGGTAGGCCCGCAGCTGCAGCCGGCAGAGACATACAGGCCTGACAGTGGGCTGCAGAGGCAGACTGACCCGGCAGAGGCAGGCAGGCACAGCAGGTGACAGCCGAAACACAGTCGCAATAAAGACCAGAAACAGAGCTATTATTCTCTGAAGAGCTAGTGAAAACAAATTCTTAATCAAAAACTTGGAACAGGGACGCCTTTAACCCCAACAGCCGGGGAAGAAGCTATCTCCATGGGACAGAACCAGAACGAATCTGAACACTCCCTCTGAGGAAAACCCAGGGCTCAGCTGCTGATCCTGCAAAATCCAACAACTTGGAGGTGTTGGTGAGACTACCCCGCTCAGCTGAAATCCATCGAGGAGAGGATTCAGATCCCTACAATTTGAAGTCTGAAGAAACAAGATCAGCTGAGGAGTTGACGAATAAACAAAATGTGACCTGGGAACACAGAAGAAGGCGCTACCCAGCCACCAAACCAGATCACCAGAATCATAAGTATATACTTCACTGACTGAGATCAGCTGCCCCTGAAGAAACAGCCCAATAGCACCAATTTAACCAAGAACTCCTAATGAACCAAGACTAAAAATTAGAACAAGGGAAGCACTCTCAGACACAGACACCATCTGCACCAAGCAGAGAAAGAGATGAGTAGACGCCAGTGCAAAAATACAGGCAACAACATAAAGACCTAT